TGTTTGGAACATAATTGGTTATTTAACAATTATTCCTTATTCTGCCCATGCACAACGTACTTAATGCTATTCATTGACTATTTAGCAGAGCCGCTGTGATAATTGGAAAATAAAGCAAGGTTATTTCGACGAATTATATTTTATGATTTAGATTACAAGTATTGAATTTAGCATGGTACTTGGTAAATTAACTGAGTAATTGTAAAAAAAAATTGCCTGCTATCTGGAGCAACGCAACACTAAACACGCGAAAACAGCAGACAGGATTTTTGCTGAAAGTATGTTCGTGTATCGAAGGAATGAAAATAATTTGAATGTTGTACGTAGTGAAAATTCGTTTACCTGCTTTCTAAAATTTTCAGTACAATTTATATCTTATTCACGAAGCGAGCCATCTAAAAACATATTCGTTTCGAATATGCGTATAGAACTTTCATTTCAAGAAGCGTAGCGAATGGATTCAAACATATGTTTTAATCAGAATATATACGGAATCCTCAAATAACGAAACTTCATTAAATAAGATTCAAGTACTCGTATACAATATTTAGTTTTATTATACAACCAATCAACCAAATTTGGAATAAATGACTGCAGCATTTTGGATTTCATGCACTAATTCATATTTTTCTTCTGAGCTGAGTCTCTAGATCGAAAAGTTTGTGTATTCTGGGCAACAGGCAAGTCATTCGATAATAATCATCCGTAAATATTTGCATAACTACATACAGGTCGAAGCCGCAAATAGATAGATAAAGAATTTTCTATACATTTAATGGGTAGTTTCAACTTCAGGCAGGTTTTTCTCATAACAATAATATCGTACGTTTTACAGCGTACCATATCAAAAACACCTACGCCTATTAGGCTTTTCAAAAATATATCTATAATAGTTGAAAGATATGACAGCTCTTTGGAAATTCTTAGACTGATCTCAAATACTAGTCCAGTAGAACAGTGTGACGACTTTAAGCTTATTAGCAGCTGCAGCATTTGTCAACAAAGGTCAATTAATTTCAGTAACAAATTATTCTAAAAAAATGTCTGCAATTCTTCGTACATTTTCTAGTTCAGTTTCATGGTTGGGCATTTTTCAATATTTTTACACAACAAATTTGCAAGTTTTTTGTGTAAAATCCTAGGACATAAATAGTGCAAGTACTAGATGAACGAAGCTATTTCTATGTTAAATTAGGTTTTACAAGTTTTAACAAGTTGGTGGTATTGTGAACGTATTCTTTTTTTATGCGGTTTTATGTTTTCCAAAAAGTAAAAAGTGAAGTGGAAATTTCTGTGTGCTACTTTTAAAATATGGCTCGTTTTTAGTGTTGTATTTTATAAAAAAGTCACGTAAGTTTTATGCGATTTTATGTTTTTCAAAAAGTGAAAAGTTACGCTGTAATTCTTAACAAAACAATTGAAACAGCTGGTTCAGTAATACGATACGAACCTGATGCTTCCATTTGGATGTGGGATACCCTGTACAATATTATTACATAAAAAATTATGTAAAAAAAAAATATCTCACATATATGAGCCCCTTCCCACTTCAGTTGGCCCAACTATTGAAATCTTAGTTTTTTTATTATCAAACACAAATAATAAAAATGTAGCAGGGTGTTATAGGTTTAAAATATTAACAATGAATATTTTGATAATATATAGTAGAAAACACCAAATTTATCACTCCCTAATCAAATTTGCAGTATAAAAATAACACAAACATGTTGCAATTACAGCATATCAACCTATTTTCATTTCAATGCAAAATAAGTCTATAACGCATTTGTGGCTTTGAAAAATAAAAGCCATGACAATTGCTTTTATTAATCACAGCTGTCAGAATACGTTTAAAATAGTTTTGGGTAGTTAAGGTTTTCAAAATGGGTAGAGGAAAGGTTATTAGTGAGAAAATTCAGTTACTGATAATTAAATTTTTTAATTCTGGGAAATCAAACTCAGAAATTGCAACTTTGTTAGACTTATCGCGGTACAGTGTGAGAAATATTGTTAGAAGATATAACGTAACTGGTTCAGGTAATATTAAGCCACGATATGTGAAAAAAAGTAATATCACAAATGCCTACCGAAGAGTATTAAGAAGAATAATCGTGAAAAACATTCGTGCCAATTATTTACAATTAAGTGCTCTGTGGAGTGACGCTGTTGGAAGGAGAATTTCGAGGACCACAACTCATAGAGAGGCCCACAAACTGGGATTTAGCACTTGCAAGGTAAGTTTTCTTATAAAAAAAGTGAAGTAAAAACCCTAAAGTTGCACAACTTGTTTATATGCCAAAGAGAAGCCACTATTAAGTCCACTGCAAAAGAAAAATCGGCTTAGATGGGCTAAAGAACATAGACAATGGACACCTCAACAATGGTGTGCAATACAATGGAGTGATGAGGCCCGATTCGAAGTTTGTGTTGGTGACAGTCGCAGTAGAGTTATTCGCAAAAAAATGAAGCATTTCATGTTGACTCTCTGAAGAGAAAAGTGAAATTTCCAGCATCCATTATGGTCTGGGGCAGTATGTCATCACAAGGAGTAGGAACACTTCATTTTATTGATGGGAATGTGGATACAAACAAATATTTGGCAATTTTTGTAGAATTGCTTTTACCAGTGATGGAAGAATGTTTGACATCCGGCCAAGATTTTGTGTTTCAGCAAGGTGGTGCAGCGTGCCATACCTCAAAAAAGGCTATAAAATGGATGGAAGAAAATAATGTAACACTTTTGAAATGGGTTTCTAGCATTTCAGATCTGTCACCTATTGAAACTTTGTGGCACGAGATAAACAAGGTTCTACGACAACATCCTGCTCGTACAATCACCGAACTGAGACAAAAGCTTCAAGAAATATGGGATTGTTTTACACCAAATGTTTGCCAAAACTTGGTTAACACTATGCCCCAAAGAATTTCAGCCGTAATAAAAAATAAAGGTGATGTTACCCAATGGTAATCTTTCAATTTTTGCTTTGTTAACTTCGCGCATTTATTCGCACATTGTTTATTTGTTCAGATGTTCTATTAGTTATAGGTCTAAGTGATTTCAAATATGTATTTTTTACGACTAGAGTGTATCTATGTTTTTGAGAAAATAAATTGTTTTAGAAGTAAATAGTTTCGTCATGTTTAATTTATAAAGGCATATTTTGGTACAAATTTTGAAGTGGGCCAACTGAAGTGGGAAGGGGCTCGAAATATCATAACATATTAAGTAAAAACTAAATATATTACTTATTATCATAGGATATCATGTATCAAGCGGAATATCTTATACACTGAGAACCAAATTTGTCTGATGGCTTGAGTTCAATGTCTACGAGATAGAAGTATGTATATACACATATGTTAGAAAGAGATAGAAGCCAGCTGGATATCAAAGCTCATCACCGCATTGCCTAGCAATAGTGTCGTTGCCAGTATGTTACGCATGTTCCTTGAATTGAAATGCATGTTGAAAATACGCGTTAGATTATTCTATTGTGTCGAATCTGTTTAGGATCGATTCCGGATCGATCCTAACGGTGCTTGATTTTAGGTAGGCATCAGCACAAATTCTGCAACATTGCATCATTGGTTCGCTTGGCAACACCGCAGCTCGTACATTCCAAACAAAGGTTTCCACCTTCATGAATTCATGATCATAGATGTGCGATATTGGTCAGTACACATCTAGCGCTCATTTGGGAATGTCGTCCTGCTTCGAAACGGTTTTCACCTGCGTACATGCAGGCAGTGATAATTCGTATTTCGTAAAGGTATTAGTTACATTTTCTGACCGCTCGCTGTCTCAAAATGTAACAATAACTCAAAATGTGTTGATTTTATCACCATCGGTGGAAATCAAAGGTAATTCCAAAATAAATCAAAACACTAAGTGGCATCAAAATTGAAATAAATAGTTCTAATCGATATGAACACAAAATATTAAATTAAATGTTCGAGCAAAACTCCTTCTTGGGTTTGACAGTAACCTAACCTATTATAGAAGCTTGTACTTTTCGACGCCTGGGAATACTGAAGCTTTCTTCTAAATCACCTTGAATACGTATCATTTGTAGTGTTATTATTTCATAGAGAAATGCAGTTTCACCATAAAAATACTGAAGATGAGGCACCAATAGCAATTCAATAAATATGCTTTAATGTGGCAGAGAAAGTCGATTTAGATGCTTCATCACATTGGTTGCCATACTTGACTAGATTTAGAGTAAAATTCAAAAGTAAAATCGCTAACGTCTGAAATTTAAAACAATTAGAATACTCTTACTGTGGAGACGTTCTGACAAAATTTGGAGACAGCGTTAACATTATGTGAAGAGAAGGGTTGAAAAACGTGCAGTACGTTACCAGCATAACACATTAACCTATCCTTCTTGCGTTTGGAATGTTATACTTCTAATCTATTTCCAATATCAGTTATTACGCCAGGTTAATGGCTATTCAATCTCGTTTCTTTGCCTTAATTATAACTGTTTATTAACAACATTTCTGCCTTGCTCTACGCGAGTAGGGGAAGGTCGGGTAAAGTGACCCAGGCAGGTAAAGTGGCCACCTTCATTTTAAAAACGAACCATTAAGCGCCATCTATTACGGGATATGGGAATAATATCATTGGTTGACGCCATATTGCTTCCGTGACCATCAACTGGATCAGTGCTTGTCTTAGGATTTTATTGTGAAAAAATATATTTTAGTGGTCTTTGATCTAAGGTGAGTAGTTTAAACATAGTAAAAATATATTGTCATCAGATTCACAGAGAAACAATGTACGATTTTATTGGTTTAGTGCATGAAATGAGCAATTCATTCCACCGCAAAGTAGGTCAATATAACCTCATTTGTTATTTGAATTATTTTTTTCTTCGCCGCATGCTAATTCGGGTAAAGTGGCCTACCAAATCGGTAAGGTAAAGTGACCCGGTAGGCCACTTTACCTTTTTAGTGTTTTTTCCTGCAACCATATAATGGTTTGTGTTATTTTAGATATGCCAACTAGATATACACGGACGACGCAGCAGCAGACATGGGATTCGGAAGCGATGGAAAAAGCTATTAGAGCTGTACGAAATGGGGAAATGGGCTTTCTTAAAGCTAGCACAGTCTTCGGTGTTCCCCGATCAACGCTTAAACGGCGTGTACAAGGAAAAAACAAACATGCTGTTGAAAATGTTAAAATACTGGGGTCACGACGTCCAATTTTTAGTCCGGTACAAGAGGCACAATTAGTACAACACATTTTGGAACTTGAGAATCGTTTCTACGGATTAACATTGCGGGATGTAAGGAAATTAGCCTTTCAACTAGCTGAACGCAACAATATAAAACACAACTTCAATAAAGACACTCAAATGGCTGGAAAAGCGTGGGCTTCTGATTTTAGAAAGCGTCATCCAGAACTGACACTGAGAAGCCCAGAAGCAACTTCTCTTGCCCGAGCACAAGGTTTCAACAAAGTAAGTGTCACGAAATATTTTGACCTTCTAGAAGAAGTAAGGTCTAAAACAAACTATCCACCTCATCGCATTTTCAATGTGGATGAGTCTGGTTTCACCACTGTGCAGAGCAAGAGTTCTAAGGTACTTGCGAAAAAGGGAAAGAAGCAGGTGGGTGCCATCACCTCTGCAGAACGAGGTGTATTAAGCACCGTTGTAATTTGCATGGCCGCTGGCGGTAACTTCATTCCACCTTTTATTATCTTTCCCCGGAAGAGAATGAAGGTTAAACTTCAAGATGGGGCACCGCCAGGAACTGGTTTTGCGTGTCATTCGTCAGGGTAGATGCAGTTGGACATTTTTACGGCATGGTTTAAGCATTTTCTTAAATTTGCCAAGCCGACTGAAGATGATCCAGCACTGCTAATTTTGGATGGACACAATTCACATACCAAGAATTTGGATTTCATTGATATGGCACGAAGAAATCACACGACCGTCTTGTGTCTGCCTCCACACTGCAGTCATGGACTGCAACCTTTGGACGTGTTTTTTATGGGTCCTTTGAATAAGTATTACATCCGTGCAGTTGAGAAGTATCTTCGCAATAACCCAGGAAGAGCCTTGACTGTGTTCCAATTCAGCAAACTTTTTGGCGAAGCATACAGCGAGGCAGCACAACAATCCATCGCAATCAATGGATTTCGTAAATGTGGGGTAGAACCAATGGATCGCCACGTATTCAAAGATTATGATTTTGTGCCAGCAGACACAACAGATAACATTCTTCTTGAGCAGGAACTACAACAAAATGAAGCTAATAATGAGAATGAGACACCTCAAAGAGTAGAGTCTCCATCTATTCTACAAATTACGCCACCAACATTGGATCAGGAAGAAAATATTAATGTAACGCTACCAGTTACTTCGCCAATATTGAACCCTTACATAGACCTACAACCCAGCACATCCTTCGCGGTAGCGCCTGAAGACTTATTTCCGATTGGCTAAAATTAGAAAAATAAATAGAAAGAGTGGACGTACAGCAATTTTAACGAGTAGTCCTTATAAAAATGAGTTACAGGAAGAAAAAACACAGCAACAACAAAAAAAAGAACTGAAGAGAGTGACTAAAGCTATTTTTGAACCAACTAAAACTGGGAAAAAACTTAAAGCTGAAACCAACGTTAAAAAACGTGGTAAAAATACAAACAATGCTAAAATTAAGAAAAGTGACGATACTGATGATGAGGCCGATGATGACCCTGAATGCTTTTACTTTGGGGAAGTTTGGTCTAAATCAAAACATGAAGATGGCTGGATACAGTGCTCTAGCTGCAAGCGATGGGCCCATGAAGCATGCTCGGGTTGTGATGACGCCGATGATGTCTTTCATTGCGAATTCTGTTCGTGAGAATATTTTCTTTTTATTGAATGTTAATGAATAATGAAGAGTTTGTTATTTGCATTTCATAGTTTAGTAATTAAAACTTTATTTAGTTTGTCATTAAATGAAGGAAAGTTACATTTATTTAATAATTTTATAAGTATAAACAATCAAAAGACTTTGAGTTATAAACAATTACCTGAACAATTGTGATAGTGTTGTTGCTTACAATAAATATTTTTTCTATGCAAAATTTGAATAAATCTTTATTTTATTATCATTTTATTTGAAGTAGGCCAACTTTACCCGATTATGAATTTGTATGGGCCAATTTACCCGACCAGGATAGGTAAAGTGGTCAACATCCCATTTCGGCTTAAATATTAAATTACGCTTAAATTATCAGCACAATCGTTTAAAAGCTATGTAATATCGAAACTATATTAGCTAGTGGGAAAATATAATGAATTTGATTTGAAAAAGGTTCACATTTATTTGTTTGGCATGCGTTCAAGGCTTACGGTGACCACTTTACCCGACCTTCCCCTACATTGGTTACTTGAACATCCCTTCCAGATAAAATAATTTACGCTGATGTATTGATGTGTCACTTTGGTAGGCAATGCTAGTCAAATTCAGGTAGCAGCGGTGACGTAGTGGTAGACGTTATGGGTCTCCTAAGCAGTGCGCTGCGTGGGTTCGAATCCCGTCCCAAGATAATTTTTCTCTTGGCTACGGATGTTGTGATTGCCCGTAGGTGATAGACGGTTTCTGACTGACGAACAAGGAGGTACCACCCGGCGGATCTCTACGGCAAGGGCAGAATGTGTGCATGTTGCATGAACACGCGTTTCCCTCGCTAGAATCTGCCTTTTTATTATCTAGACGCATTTAACAACAGATAATTCACTTTTTAGTACAGGATCAAGAAAATACCGAGATTACGACGACGCAACTTTAAAAGCTGCAATAAGATCTATGAAAGCTGGTATGAGCAGCCATCGAGCTGAAGCCTTCTTTAAAATATCTCGACAAACTCTAATTAATAAATTAAACAAAAAACACATAGGAGATGTAGGTAGGTCCAAAATATTCTGCAAAGTAGAAGAATGACATTTGGTCGATGTGCGGATTGTTAGTGCTGAATTTGGCAGCCCGATGACCGAGTTTGATCTAAGAATGTTGATAAAAAATTATTTAGGTGAACAGGGGATCAACCTAACCTGTTTTAAGAATAATTTACCAGGCGTCTTCATTCTTAGAACGGCACAAAAGTAGACTTACCAAAAGACATTGCCAAAATATAAACAGAAGTAGATCAGAAAAAAATCTAAGGAATTCGAAAATTATTTTGAAAATTTAGAAAGAACGCTTCAGGGAGTTCCTCCTGATAGCATACTAAATTACGATCAAACTAATTTAAGTGCAAATCCGGGTAAGTAAAAAAAGGAATATAACTTTATGTCTGTATCTAAATATTGACTTTTTTTGGGACCAAGAAGTGTATATTTTTTAGAGGTACAAAATACCCAGAAAGACACATGAACACAACAAAAAGCGCCATTTCCATCATGTTTTCAGTGACAGCAAGCGGAGACATTTTACCTTGTTACATAGTATATAAAGCCGAAAGACTGTACTTATAATAAATACATGGGTGGAAGGGGGCCCGTGAAAGCAATATACAACCGAACCAAGAGTGGGAGGTTTGATGCACCTACATTCGTAGACTAGGTAGCCCTACCTTGGTCACGAAAAATCCAAGGTCCTAACGTTATTATTGGTGAGAACTTGTCGTCAAATTTAAACAAGGAGGTAATAGTTCAGTGCCAAAGAAACAACATCTGTTTCAATTTTTACCACCGATCTCGACTCATATCACACAACCGTTAGACGTGTGTTTCTATGGTCCACTTGAGAGAGCCTGGAGAGCTATTCTACAGGATGTAAAAATGCAACATCCTTCCCAAAACTGCGTTGGAAAGTCAGTTTTTCCTTCATTATTAAATAAACTTATAAGCATTTTAAAAATTTAATCAAAACCTAATACAGAAAGCGGCTTTAGGGCTACCGGAATTTATCCCTTCTGTCCGGATGAGGTCCTAAAAGAATGCCGGCTGAGCGATACAAAGAAAGAGTCTCAGAAGCTCTTATAAATATGTTGAAATCTCAACAAGAACCAAAGGAAAATATACCTCGAATAAAGAAGAAAACTATGCTGCACGTAGAACCAGGTGTTTCTGTTTCATCAATAGATTTTCAAAAAGATTTTACTTCCAAAATTAATGAAAAAGAAGGAGTGGAATGTGAATCTGAAGAAGACGATGAAGAAGAAAGCGAACAGGAAGACTTGGATTTAGACGAAGAAGGAAACACGAATAGGAGATTTTTGTAAAATTTATGAAGAAAGGATATCATCCGGATTTAATTTTCCAACATTGGATGACCCATCCCTGGTAGATAAATCGGACATCCAACAGGTATTGAATGCTCCGGCTATTAGCCGAAGGGGCGAGTACATTTTTGAGGATCTCGATAAAAGCTTAAGTGCCGATTTCACGAAGATTTAGATTTGACTGGGGCTTCCACCAATAAAGGACCAGCTTATCGAAATGCAATTTGACGGGAGCTGTCAAAGCTCTCCTAATATCACTAATTTCTTTTGAAATATTGCATAAATTCGTGAAAAAGCGGCTGCCTTATAAATAAGGGTACATTATAGATGTAATATCATGTCTTTGAGCTTCATAATTAGGATAGCTTTCATAGAATTACTCAATTCATAAAAGATAGGGAACATATTTGAATGGATCAATGACAATGCAAGAAAAATAGGTCGATTTTCTAGCTATTATACTTAATAGGATGTTTTCACTGTTTTTGGTGACTGTCGATGCATGGCAATCTAGTTTTGTCTCTCTATCTCGTATAGAGTGTTGTACATAATACGTATCTGTAGAAATGTACCGATGTTTTTTTATTTTACAAATTTTATGATCTAGAAATCCACACCAAATGTAAACACACAATCACATTTCTGGGTCCTAAAACAGCGATATTTGAAAATTTATCTGCATCCACCTATTATTCATTGTCTAGGTTTTATTAGTCGGAATCAAAACTTGTTATTTTTATTATTATCATAACATCTCTGGGATATTTTGAGGTGATCTGCAGTCTGCAGTGTTGCCGAACCGAAAAAAAAAACGTAATCGGTAAATAGTGAGTTGAAATTGGTATAAGGAAAAATGCCGTCCTAACATCAGCGGTGGATCAAGGACCTTTGAGTCACGCAGTGCCGTCTAAGAAAAATGTTTATTATTGTATTGAGCGTCCACACATGGTTTTGGAGGGCATAGTTGTATATTACAACTTGTACAATGTGCAAATTGGTCGCTCTTTCAAAGTATTTTGCAACCATTCTGGAAACTCCTTTTTCGATTCCTGCTTATAGGATTGTGAATATTTTTCTCTTTTAGCCCTGAACTCATGAACTCACCACATATTTTAATTAAATACTTATTTTGAAAACAGACAGGTTTAGGTTTCTTTATTGCTTGTCCGGTGATGCGGTAATGAAGGTAATCTACCAGTCTGTATCTTTTGTACGCACAAAAATCAATTCAGGGCAAGCGGAGTATGGGATGAGGATGTGCGTTCGTAATTGTAGGCAACCCAAATCTACGCCTCTCATGTGCCCGACTACCTGAGTGTGTATGCATATGTATGATTGTGATTTGGGGCATAAAATTAACTTTTAGCTTCATTTTTCGTTCCATCTCTTTTTCGGCAAGTATGGAAATATTTGAATTATTTTGATAAATCGTGGACAATTACGTTTTCAATAAATATTCTCAGTTCGGTAAAAATACCGAAAAATCCGGTTCAAGTCCATGCATAGACAATCTGAAAGCTGAAATATGAATTTATATTCTAGATTCTATGCATATCTATTCATATTCGTCAATATTTCATTTGAAGCTTCTATTTTTCATAAGATTTTAGCAAAATGTAATAGTAAAGGCAACACCGCACCCCGAAGCCCAGTTGACAAGCTGTCAAGATAAAGGATGTTTCGATCCTCGAGAAGTATCGATATGTACCGATTCTAATCTTTTCAGGAAGTATCGATACTCTAAAATATGGGAAAAAAATTATCGAAATCATTGGCATCGTTACCTCTCGATACGGAACATACCTTGCCGAAAAGTTGTTTTTTCTACAACCCTCAAAATAATGTTTATTTTTTTCAACTGCATGACTAGATTGTCAAATACGTTCATTAATAGGAATAGGTAAAAAACCTCACAATTGCATAAATTACATCTCCCGCCGAAACTCGATTTTACAATATAGCTCCACAAATCACTGCTCACAGGAGGCATCACTATCACAATAATGTTTTGTTTCAAGCTATACTGTTTAATCAATCAATACTAAAAACACTGTGTGTCATGCAACCGAATCCAACCGGGTTGCCAGGTCGTTCAGTTCAGTTTCCCCAGTCGAAATGTAAAAATCCCCTAAATTCAGGACTTTTCAAAATAAATCCCGAAAAATACCATTTGTATTTTGTTGCCATTGGTTTACAATTTGTTAGATATTCTTGGATATCAAAATATTT